GATCGAGTGGCGTCCTTATCTCGTATTTTTGAACAGCGGAAGCAATACAGCTGTGCTCGCGGACAACATTAACTCGTCCGGCACGTCGCCTGTGCATCAAATGAACGTAGGACGTGCCTTTAAAAGGAGATGAAGCAACGAGGAAGGCAGAACGTTTCGCCATTCCCTCTCAAAGATCAGCATTAACTGTGCCTTTCAAATGCGTTTACCCGTGAGGTGCATCTTTTCCGAATGCAAGGTAGACAGATCAGAAGCGCGAAAGCGCATAGCTTTCACCGCAGGGGAAGTGGAATTGAAATTTGTAACAGCCAGATGTTACTTAGGTTTCCATCCGCCATACGATACGCCATAGAGTGGTGTTCCACAGCGTCTTCTAACCGCAAAAGTAAATGGGGCCTGATCGAGGCAGAGGAGGAACATTTAAGGTGGTTTCAGATTGTACATCTGGCTCCTCATTGGTCTCCGTCAATCTCACCGCACACCTTCCGAGAGAGGGTGCAGTAGAGCGTGCTTTGGCCGTATGGCGTATTGAACGGCTGGTGTAGACCCTAAGAACCCTAACAGGCCCCTAGCTACACTGCCATGCACTCGCGAGGAACGAAAGCGGTACACTCTTGGAGCTACGGATCTGTCGACTAGGACGCAAAGAAGGCCCACCTCTCGGAGAGTTGTGCACTTCATCGAGCACGTTTGAAGGGGTCTACGGACAACTTGAACTCAATCCCTTTGAACGCGTCGATCTTCTCTTTTTCTCTGCACTCTCTCGTCCGCATGGCACTCTATGGCCGTTGTGACTTCGCTCACTCCAGCTTTTCACCGACTATAAGTAGCTCACCCACCCCGGAGTTCCCCTCCCTCTGAAATTCCACGAGAAATTTCGTTGTGGCTCAGCATTATTTTTTGAGTTTGTATGCGTTCGCTGTCTGCTATCGTTTGCATCACAGGATTTCGCACCAGAACAGGCACGAAGAAGTTTAAGATGTCAAGTAGTTTGAATTCGGAATGTGGATAATAAAGAAAAAAAAAAATATGTAATGTGATCGCTCTCATAATAAAATGATAGGTTCGAGAAGACGATGAGAGCTATATGCCGTTAATTTAGCGAATTGTTATCGTGAAACTTTTGTTGCGTACAAGACATTGTAGTCCACACATACCTTGGCAAAGAGACGAATGGCAGTGAGCGACGAGGATGTACGACTGAGATGCAGAGAATAAGAGCTTGGCAATAGTTGCCCACTACGGATTAAGATCTTCGAGGGGAGAGACGGGGGCGCAGACTGCCAGGAGGAGATCCTGCACTCGTGGAATGATGGCCTGGAAAGATAGAACGTTAAAACGACTGAATGGTCATAACAATTGCTCTCACCTTCAGTTCAGCATCAACAGCTCGTCGTGCCGCCCAGAACGTTTTGGCGTCATTCGTGACTTTACCCAAACAGCACGTCCTCGAGTTTTCTTCAATCAACTTGTCCATCATAGCTTTAACCGTTTCCACCTTAGTAATTTTCGTAAGAAACCTCATATTCATAACACCACCGCTATGGGTATACCTTCGATTTCGGAGCAACGGGCATGATTATGGGCTCGCGATCTCGGTGCAACTTTATCAGATGCAGGGAACCATCATGCGACATCGCCAATTGCACCAATGTGAAATCTGAAACGATGGACACCAGATTTTTCTAGAGCGCGTTCATACTTCCCCTTCCAAGCGCTCGATACAGTCCAAGCGATCGGATCGCTAAGTATGAACGCGCTCTCAACGACAACTCAGAGTAAAACCAAGTCACATCGACCCACCTGCAGGTAATTTCTCAACCATCTTCTTGAACAAAGCCGGCTGTGAAAATGCAAATCCACTCATCTTTCCTGATATGAAACGCGAGAGCTGTCGTGTAGCCAACATTGTCGACTCGGACCACATCATGGCCGCTTGCCATGGACCTTCAATATTTCCCTCTTTTCTATCAGATGCAACAGACAAAAAGGTATTAGAACTTACAGGTGACGTGCTCGCCCAAGGAAGTGCACAGAGGGAACCGCCAGTCCCTGAATGAAAAGCTCTAGTAGGGCGAAAAAGAGAACGATAAACTCAATAAGGGCGTCCTCACACTTCGCAATGCGATTGCGCCATGCAAGCGATCGGGTCGCGAAGTGTGAACGCAATCTGAAAAAGAACGATAGCGCACCTATACAGCAGATGACTGTACGAGGCATATTCGGAGAGAGCTTCTTTAACCATATTCTTCTCTATGGTCCTTTGTGCAACCTGAACGTGATACTTCAAATTTCAAGACATAGCATGTCAGGAGAACTAGCTCCATATCTTGCGACACTGGGGAGTCAGAGGAACGGGAGATTGGGAGGGTTTGCGGAAAGGAAAGGAAGGGAACGTATCTTTGATCCCTTTTTTTATTCTCTGTGAAACACTTTCGATCAGACTCTCCGACGCACCGATGACTTGAGCGATTCAGTCGCAGACAACTCTGAGAGTATGACGAACCGTTCCCCACCGTTAACCGCTCAATCAACTGCTACAACTATTAACCCAATTGCAGGCTCTGTTCGGCTTTAAGGGGGCAATTCGCACTTCCGTCAGTTCCTTCTGTGGGTTGAAGTTAACTGACAGTCACCAGTTTGGTCAGACCTGTAATTCAGATTAGAACTATTCGGTGCCCCCATCAAGCCGACCTGCGCGGAGCTTAATTTGACTCTTGCAGGAGTTCAAAAATTATCATTGGAGTGCGGTTGAACGCAATCGCGCGACTGAGTAGCGAAGTATGAGGCCTGGACAGAAAAAAAGGTCAACATTCCCACCATTTCAGGTGTATCCTCGTCTTCACTTTCGTTGCCACATAGCCGAGAAGGGAAGAGGTACTGCGACACAGTGTTCTGGAAACGACACAGTGAAGACATCTGTATTCCCTTCAAGGGCCGAAAGTTTCAAAACGTATAGCGAAAGTTTCAAACATTCAAATGTGAAAAGTTAAAAAGATAAAGTTTGATATCAATCAGTCTTTGAAGGTATGTGATCGCTACCAGAAGTGTCAAAACTCCATTTTCCTCACTGATTTGACAACTACATTATGCATAAATAAAAGTATACATACCATGAACCTGCTAGTGCGAGTAGTATCCTTCATCCATTCGTAACGATAAGATCTCGAAAGCTTTTGGATGCGTTCCAGTTGTGAAATCGATAGACGGTAGCAAACTGTTCGTATAGATGAGTAACCGCAAATCTAAAAGATGAAAAAAAAACTGGTCTCACTAGACAAAATGAGTTGAAAGACACTATGCGTAAAGGCAGGGAACCTTGGCTTCAAAGGCAACATGCACACCTTCACGGACTATGGTCCTTGCCAGTGTGAGGTGAATGGGTCCGCAACGCAGAGCCGCCCTTTTTCTGGCATGAAGTGAAGCCTGGCATGGGTTGATCGAGACCAAAATGTTGCGCTGAACATCTGGCGCCATGCTCATGAACCCCTTGTGTAGCTCGACTTCATTGATACGCCCACGTACCTCGCGTGAGGCCCGTCAGACGGAATTTAGCTATTTATGCTCCCAAAGGACTAAATGACACCCCAAACAGCGCTGGCTCAACATTCTTCCCCACCTCACTGTCACCATTCGGAGTAAAGAGAAGTAGTAGCGGGGCATCTGCACCAACAGCAATTAAAATGAAAGCTAGGCGCTGCCGTGATTAGCGGGCGGAGCCGTGGCCTCTCTAAGAGCGAGTTGCACTTTTCTTGCGTATTTTTGAGCTGCGAAATTGGTACATTCACTGTGGTCGCGGACAGAACTACCTTCTCCGGAGAAGGCGTCTGAACACCAAATGGACGCACAGCGTGCTTCCAAGAAGAAGAAACAAAACGAAACCAACCTTCAAAGCAGACTTTACTACTAAATCCCTCAAAGACTTGAGCTTTGGGTTATCGCTATCCCAACAGGAATCTTCCAACCTGCGCAACCATCGTACCACACACATCAAGAACGTCTCGCACATAATCGAGGGCGGGCGCTGAAAACATAGGCTAAACTAATTAAAAAGTTCCTATTTGCCACATGGAAGAACAAATAACGGTATTTTCTACCCCTCCTTGTCCCACTTTTGGGAATCCAGACCATATTTTGATCGAAATTTCTCCCCTACGGCTTCTTCCCAAAAAGTATTCGGCAGGATTCTTGTCAACAAAGGTAGGAGGTAGATAGGTAGGTAGGAGGTAGATAGGTAGGTAGGTAAGTAGGTAGGTAGCTAGGTAGGTAGGTAGGTAGTGTTCTGATCACCTGAACACGAATATCGCATCCGCTCAGAGCAAAAAGCTTTGTGACACTGGCACCAGCGACGCAGGCCTATTCTGGCGCCGCATGCCAGCAATGCACGAAGCAGGAATTTTGAGAGACGGTAAAGAGGATCGTAATATGCCGCTTCGCCGCGCGCGGCGTTTTCTTAACTCGTGTTAACTTGTCGATTGAAGCACCGGACTTCATGTAGACCCCGTCATCGTGTACATTTATGACTATTTTCGGTTCTGAATTGTCTGTTGTCGCCATCATCTACCTGGAACCATCGTCATTTGCGGGCGCGACGTCGCACGCGACGCCGACAGCGCGATGATTCACGATCCTCTTGTCACATACCCGGAATTTTAACGCCTGGCTATGATATTCGTGTTTAGGGGAGCATACCAACCCTCAAAACAGGGTTTTTAGCACATTTCGTGCTTGTAGGTGTTCTAGCATCGGCGCCTGTGTCGAGTCGAGCTAAGCGGATGTGATAATCGTGCTCAGGGGACAAGCTACCCTAGAAGGATAAGTTCCACCCAACTCCCATCTTATCATCAATCAATACCGCTATGGAAAAGTTGTGTTCTTCGGATTCTATTGAGAAACAGTCAATGAAATCAGAATCATCTCTATTGTGAATGTAGGACTATCAAAAAACCACCATTTTGAGCGACCATGGGCGGGGCAATCAACTGTTTGCAACCGCATGAAAATTGCATTGAAGAAACAAATGTGGGCGCTGTTTTGCTTGGAGGGGGCATTTTGCATTTTCGCTAGCTCCGTTCATGTTGACTAACAGGTCTCACTTTAGTCAGACATGTAAACTCCTGTGAAGCTGCGACATTATTCGAATGAGCCACTTTGATCACAGAAATTTACAAGTCTCCACAATGTGGCCTGACAAGCTTAGCTGCGTACCATTCGTGCCCCCACCAAGCCGACCAGTGCTCAACTGTGTACAAGCAAAGAAAGATAGGTGCAAATAAACGGTTAGAAGTAAAACCTACAGGCTTCACTTTCTTTCCCAACACTGCGCACTGTTCTTGAGAAACACGTGCACGTAACGCATGGAATTGTTCCTCAAGGCTTTGCATCGCAGCCTGAAACGACAACAAGCAAATAAAAGAACATCAATATAGCCTCCCTGGAAAAATACTCAGAAGAATAGACCAGGTCTGGATAACCATACTCTGGCAGTGGTGATAAAGCAGCCGCCATATCATGTGTGACCTCTGGGCACAAACACCACCCACCTCCAAGAAAGAAGAACAAAAGACCAGCGATCAGAGTACACCATTATGCTGTGAAACGGCGTTGTCACTACGACACCCGCTCCCACCACCACTACCCACACAAATAATTCCTCTGGTACAACTCCTTTCCC